AGCGCTGCTGGTTGTGTGTCAGGGAGCCTGGCAGCTGGGTTGAGCACAGCTCAAGGTACCTAGCTGCTGGGTAAAACCCACCCAAGGTACCAGACTGCTGCTGTCCCTGCCAGCCCTGCTTCCTGCTGAGTTGGGCTTTCTGTGTGTGGAAACAGCGTGGCTCCTCCAGGGTGTGGACCAGCATTCTAAGCAGGCTTGCTTGCCCCACTTTTGTGGCTAGAGCTTCCTTTAGGAATATTAGCTACCAGTGACATGACCATGGCGTAGGAGACGGTGCCTACTCTATCCTCCAGAGGGCAGGTAGGTCTGACCCCCCCCCCCCCCCCCCCCGCTCCGCTCCCATCCCAGGTTGAGGTCTAGACTAAGTACTTCTTATATGAAGGTATTAATACCTTTCCCATGGCAACGTCTTCTGGCTGCTTTTTCTTCCTAAGGAACTTGGGAAAGGTTAGGGTCTGGAGGCTCCTCTGCCCGCCTCCTGTCCCAAGGTTTTAATTCTTCTGTGAGAGGTGCTTATGGTGAGGAGACTGTCATGAAAACTGGGGTTCTCCTTTGCTCTGCAGCCCTCCCGTGTCTATGTGTGGCTGATGAGTGTTCAGGTATGGGGGTTGGCCGTGAGCAACTCATGGGAGGAAGGCACAGGGCCTGCCAGAGCTATCCATGCAGGTGCTTCTGGGACCCCCGTGAGATGAGTGCCCAGGCAGGCGACAGTGCCACATGTTGTTCAGTGAACCCATGATTTGTTTTGATGTAGCTATGGAGAGTACTCTGTGCCCTGGCCTGATTCTTGGTTTGGTCTCTGAAGCCATCGCCAGTCCTTAAATTCTATTACGCTTTTGTTTGTCATGGATGATTACGCAAGGCCCGTAATCCAACGTGGATGGAGGAATCGGGTCTAATGGGTCTGCTTTCCCTTCCTAAGCTCCTGTGGCGCAGCTTGTGAGCTTCCACTCGTGGCAAAAGCATTGCTTGTCCCCCTGCTGTGGTCTGCACTGTGTTAGAGTTGGAGCAGGAAGACGAGCAGGCTCACACGTGGCTCCAAACACCAGTCTGAGCAGGAGCCAGACGCTCATGTGCTTCTATAGGCCCAGCTCATCTAACTATGGCCAGAGCGCCAAATGCCTTCTGCATTCACTGGGTCTCAGTTATTGTCGCAGAATGCCTGAGACATCAACCCGAAGGCTTATTTTGGCTCCCAGAGCTGGAGGTTTCAGTCCATGGTTGGTTTGCCCCGTGGTGAGGCAGCACGTCCGGGTGGGTGTGGGGGAACAAAACCGCTCACCACGTCGTGAGCCGGGGAACCAAAGGGAGAGATTGGAATCCCAGAATTCCTGCCCCGTGTCCCCAGTGACCTGGAGGCCTCAGCTCTGAAAAGTTCTGCTGCCTTCCGACAGTGCCATTCCTTCTAACTCAGCGGGCTGAGGGGAGGCATCATGGAGTCCAGACTCTCACAAGTGCTCCCAAGCCAAGCATGAGTTCTACTTTCTGTCCTGTGTGCACCCAGGTCTTACTGGGCTGCTCAGGGTTTTTCTCAAATGTGTAGCTTTCCCCCCTGCCTCCCAACGGCTAGGATTGCAGCTCTGTGCCAACGTGCCCAGCTCTGATTTTTACATTTCCGTGTTTGAAAAAGATTCAAAAGGAGAATAATATTTCAGGATATATCAAAGTTGAGTGTAATTCAGATTTCATTGCCCATAAATAAAGTTTTATCGGCACACAGCCATCACCAGACATTCTGTACCGTCTCTGGCCGCTTTTCTGTCATGACAGCAGGATTCATAGCGGACACAGAAACTGCAGGATATACAAGCTTTAAGGCAGTTACTCTTGGGTAAATTTTAAAGAAATGCTTTGTTGACACTCGGCCTGAACACCTGTGGGAGGGCGAGAAAGAGGGATTTAAGGAAAAAGCAGCTTGTGTTCTAAGGGGTGTGGAGGCTGTGTGTGGAAGGAGGGTCCCTGGGCGTCCTGTGTGAGATCTGAAGGTCAGAGTGACACGGGAGAATGGAATGTGCCTTCCAGGCAGCACATGAAGAAGCCGCATGGTTGAGCACACCAAGGGCTGCCGAGAGACGATGGTGACAATAATGATGAAGATGACCACGCAGATGGCAGGAATAGGAAAAGGGACAGAGAGTGTGACCGTGTGGCCCATGGGGTGGAGACTGCCAGGAAGAGTCAGATGGTTTCAAGTGCTTTGCCCAAGTGGTGATTCTTCTTCCTTTTCTTTCAGGTAAAGATTTTCGGGCATGTCAGCATCCTGGGGGACGTTGGTCAACTGCAGCCTGAGATATGAAGGTCTGGGCACCGGCTCTCACCTGAGGTGTTGAAACCGAAACCAATGTTACTTATGAAACTCTGACTTCACTCTGTGTGTCCAGCATCTACTTGGAACGTCACCAACAAGCTTGTCCCCAATCGCCAGATGAGAGTCACCTCGGCCACCCTTGGATGCTCCTTTGAGATGCTCTTTGCACTCCTTCCTTGAGGGGTTTTCCACCTTCCTAAGAGGCGAAGATGGGAATATTGATTTCTAAGAATCTTTCTAGAACAACTATGGATAACAGTAAAGCTACAATTAGGAGGATCAATAATTTTAAAAAGCTGGGAAGATACCTTAGTTCATAGCCTGATTACCTTAGAAGCAGGGGATACAAGTTTTGTCCCTGGAGCTCACATAAAACAGAACTAGCATGAGGGCCCACACCTCTAATCCAGTATAGGGCAAAGAGGTGAAGGCCTGGGGTTGACTGCTCAGCCAACCTAACCTTGTGAGTGAGTTCCGGTGACGACACCTGGTCCCAGACACGGTGGATGACTCCAGAGGAACAATTCCCAAGGTTCATTTCTGGCCCCTACACACATGTTCACCAACACACAGCACACATACACACCCTCAAAAGCCGGAAGGGCCTTCAGATGTACCTAGGAGAATCCTGGCATTTTGTTATTCCAGATCTTTCTGTCACCATCAGGTCTGGTTTTATTTGGGGGACAGCTATGTGACATTTCAGAGTGAACATACAAGCTCCCCACCCAACTCCACTCCACCCCTTCCAAGAGGTTCGGCATAAATAGGCATGGCTACTACACAAATTTCAAATTTTCAGGGATCAGACCACATGAGTGTGTGTGTGTGTGTATGTATGTGTATGGGTATGGGTGTATGGTGTGTATACCTGTCTCTCTCTTCATGGGGATGTAAAGTGCCAGGTAGCTTTTAATGATTTTATGTGTGTGTGTGTGTGTGTGCTGTAAAAATGTTTCTCTCTCCTGCCTCAGTGTTGTGTTGTTTGTCTTAGGAATATAATGCTAAGAAGAAATCACTGTGGTAATTTAAATGAATGATACTTTGGTTGGCTGAAAAAAGAAGAAAAAAGGGACACTGTCAGGGACTCTTTTGGCAGCCCGTCCAGGCTAGGTTGCACTAGACTAGACTAGAAGCTCTCCTGGGCTCACTGCACCTAGCCTGGGAGCTGGGTACCCAGAGATGCCCGGAGGAAACAGGTCCTGGACTAACTGCTCAGGTTAACGGAGGTCTCCCACTTGGTCTTCTCCCATATTGCTGTAGCTCGGATGCTGTGTAAATCTCATAGCAGTGCCTTTGGGACCCCGGGAGTGTAGTATGTCTGGAAAGTATGACTGCTGTTATTGCCTTGTTTCCTTTCTGTCTTGGTTCTTGAGTTTGTGTACTTGTCTGTTTGATGCCCTGCTCCATTGCTTTGGGTAAAATCCCCTACCATGGCTAGCTCCACCCCACCATCAGACTCTCCAGTCCCTGGCTGGGGCTGTGGTGGTGGCAGTAGGTAGAGAGCCACCTTGGCTCTGGAGCCTGGCTGGGCATGGGTGCTTTGCAATCCTAACCCATCACGGAGTGGCCTGTTCTGGGCTCCCTTAATCTCTGCTTCTCAGTTGGTTTCTCTCACCCTCCTGCCCTGCTAGTCAGAGGGGTGGGGCTTGAAGCAGAGCAGGTGGCTTGCTTTCCTCACTGTGTAGTCACAGCACAGAGGTGATTCTAGGACATTGGCCATCTTCAAGCTGTGTGCCCTGCCCTCTCAGCCTTGGAGCTGGGACTGTTACCTCCCATTCAGGTGTCCCGGGACTATAGGTGACCACCTAGAGAAGCTGGATTCTCCTGCCTTATGTGTGAACACCATGGATCCGGCTGCCAGTCCCTCATCGCTGACTCTGGCAAGAATAGCAGGACGGTGACCTTACAAATCCTTGATGAAACTTCAACACCGCAGGCACTTAAATAAAGATCCGTAAAACAAGAATCATCAGACTGAGTCATGAGTGTGTTGGGTTTGGGTGTTTTTCGATGGAGCTGGTGAAACGACTTTGTGGTCAGAAATGTGAACACAGGTTGTGGGTAGGGATGAGTTGGGGTTTCTGGGGCTGTGTGTGTCCTGGTGATTTAGGAAAAGGCATATGAATGGAATGGGGCTGGGGAAACTCTCTCTCTCTCTCTCTCTCTCTCTCTCTCTCTCTCTCACACACACACACACACACACACACACACAACACACACACACATACACATGCACACACATGCGTGCACCCTTGCTTCATGCACTCTTGTTCAAGAAGCTGGTTCAGGTTGGGAAGTGTTGAGCCCTCACTGGAGACCCTTGAGGTGTCCAGAGGATGGAGAGCCCACCCTGTGTAATCCGTGGTCCTGTCCTTGCCTCGTCCCTGGTTTTGCATAAGATTTCTGTGACATCCAGGGTGCGATGGCACATGCCTGTCATCCCAGGGCTGCAGAGGCCAGTCTGGGATCCAGAGCAAGACTTTGTCTCAACAAACAGAAAACCATCCCCAAATTTCTATGGATGTCCAGGCTGGATTAACCCCCTAGTGGATAAAAGCCAGAGAGGGTGGCTCACTCACTTGAACATGCAGTGTTGGGTATCACCAAGAACTTCAAGGGTGTGGTCTACTTGACTCTTCCGACAGTACGCTCGTCGTCGTCTCTGTAGCCAAGCGTTTCCCTACCAGTCCCGCTCCTCTTGACATCCAGGGATGAGCCAGCCCGAGGAGGAAGGAGGTACCCTCAATCCAGCAGTGCCCCTTTTGGTTTGGATTGCTGCTAAGGCAATAAGTCTAGTAGAGGAGATGGTCCATGACTCCCAAGCCTGTCTCCCAACTGCCTGCCTTTTCTACCATAAGTGCTGACACTTAGGAAGAGGGGTAGCTTGGGGCATTGCTCAAAATGGTACTTTCTAAGGTTGTGAGACCCCCTGCTGAAGTCTTAGGTTTATGATATGTACCTTGCTTGCTTTTCTTTTTTCTTTTTTTTCAGCAAGATGCTGGGTCTGGGGACCTTTTGAATGGAATTGGGAAGTAACCAGAAGAGAAATGTCCAGAGGCAGGTGCACAGGTACCCTACGCTTGCTGGTGAGACTGACTAGCAAAGTGATTTTGAGATTGGTCGGCTCCCTGGTATTGTGAGCTCTGTGAGAGGGGGTGGGCATCAGCAAAGGGGACTACGGCTCAGTCGATAGGAAGACTGCAGGAAGAGTCAAGGGACTTCTCCATCTGCTCTCCAGAGGCACAGAATCTGCCCCACGAAGCCCGCAAGCTGCTCCCAGTCACATGTGGGAGCCAGCACTTGCCTCTAGCTCTGCTGCAGTAGAATTCTTGTGACTTTTATCTGAGAATTCAGGGAGCCTTTATGTGGACTCAGTGTGAAATACACAGCATATGATTTGTGAGATCGCTCTCTTTTCTATTCTTGGTGCGAACCAAATAGCGTGAGCATTTAAGGCCGTTGCTGTGGACCGCTACCTGCGCTGTTGCCTGAGTATTTGGTCTGCAGAGCGTCTCTCCCCTTGGTAAACTGCCTCAGAAGTTCTTGCTATAGTTAGGCTCAGTGGACTAGATTATCTATCAGCAAGCTTCACCTTCCTGGAGGTGTGGGCTGTTTTTGATGAGCCAAAATGATGTGGAAGGGCCACAATGGGCTTTACCTGTATTTGTTAGCAAAGAGAGGTACCGCAGCCTCGATGTAAGTGTTTAAACCCTCCATCGGACACCAGTGCTGCGAGTAGGAAAGATCATAGAGTAACTGATTGTGAAGTTTGTAAGAAGGCAGCTGGGCGGTGCCAGATGTTATGGGAAGAAGCAAAAGACAACGGGTGTGATTCCTGTCTTGCTTGCTCAGAGTAACGGGGGGCTAGCTTCCTCCGCTGGCTGTTGCGGTCACCTAGAGCGCAGGTCTAGCTTAGCATTGCTCAGTGATGGGTATCTCTTTGGCAGACATTCCCTCTGGAGGTCATTTTCCGCTCCTAGAGTCAGAGCTAGTCATCCCCGGTCTCCTCCATCAGCTTGCTTCCACACGAAGGTCATTTTCAGCTGCTGGAGCCATCCCCAGGCTCCCCCTTTAGCTTGCAGAAGCTTTAGGAGGTCAGGCAGGGAGTGTCTACGGCTTCCACAGTCCCAGATACTGATGGAGGAAGGTCATTGGCTAATAAAGGAACTGCCTTGGCCCATTTTATTGGTTGGAAGATAGGTGGGAGGAGTAGGCAGAACAGGACGCTGGGAGGAAGAGGAAGTGAGCTCAGTCTCAACAGCTCTCCTCTCTGGAGCAGACGCCTGAGAGAGACGCCATGCCCCGCTCCGGGCAGACACACGCCATGAAGCTCCGACCCAGGATGGACTAGGCTAGAATCTTCCCGGTAAGACCGGTTCTCACAGATTATTAGAGATGGGTTGATCGGGATGTGAGAATTAGCCTTTAAGTGCTAGAGCTAAAGGGCCAAGCAGTGTTTAAAAGAATACAGTGTCCGTGTAATTATTTCGGGGCATAAGCTAGCAGAGCAGGCAGCCGGGGTGCTGGGGACGCAGCCCTGCCTCGCCCCTATTACTACAAGATACCTCACCAGACACAAAGTCATCACCACGAAAAGATCAAGGCACCACACATGGGTGATGCTGCTGCCTAAGTGCAGGGCAGCAAAGTCTCATGTTGGGGAATGGGAGAGTGAATGGGAGAGACAAGAGCAGGTCATTGGGCCTGGGAGTGAGGGCCTAGCGGTGACTGGGAAGGTAAGCAGTGTGGGAGAAGGCCACAGGTCTGGACTCAGCCCAGGCAGGGACCCCCCCCTCCCCAAATAGGTAGAATTGGAGTAAGGGCTATAAGTATCTGGGAATTGTTACCATTACCAGTAACTTCTGGGGTCCTTCTATGTGCCTGGAGCCTTGGCATTTTATTTCTTATTCAGTTTCTCAGCTGGTCTTTAGGACCTTTAGGAGGGTATAATCTTATTTCTGTGATTATTTCCACAAACCACAGACGGGGGTTGGTTTCAATAATGGTCCAACTTCCTGCTTGTCCTGTACTTTAACATCCCCTGAGTCCCAGCATCACAGGATGGAGTTGGCAATTGCCTTCTCTTTGTTTGCGTGGGAACTAGCCTAGGAATCTCAGCACACAGGGTCACAGGTTGGTAACGGGTAGATCGTGGACCATGGCCTCTTACCCTCCCCAGCATGTTTACTTGGAGGCTCTGGAGAGATGGGAGAGCATAAAAATTCACATTGGGTGGCAGAGGATTCCTGAGCTCTGGGCCAATGGGAATTAAGGTTGTGTACTCCAAGAGGCATCCACCTTAGGTGGTAGCCCCCCTTCATGGCTAAAAGAGACTGTCTGCCCAGGAGCCCTTTTCACTTTTTAAATCCTACCTGGGTACCTGGGTCCTTGGAGTCCCCTACCCTGTCCAGTTGCACCAATCTGGGTTCAGGGCCTATGCTAGGAACACTTGCCTATCTATGTTGTTGGGAACCCCTGTCCTCTGAGCATAGCATGGCAGTTACTCCGCTAATCAGTGCAGCTCTGACTACCACCCACATAACACCTGCATAAGGCGGGGTCTGCTGATGGTTCCTTGTCAAAGCGACCATCACCTTCAACTCTAGTTGCTTCCCCTGGCCTCCTCCCCTCCCCGAGCAGTGTGCAGCTGCGTCACTTCTGTGCCATTCTGCCCCAGCTGCACGGGCTCTAGAGTGTGTAGGAGGTAGAAAGTTAACCGAATGGTGCACTCCATCTGTGGATGGCCTTGGGCTAGGCCTTGCACACAGCAAATATTAGGAGTAGCTGGGTGGATGACCCGACTTGGACTGTGCTCTGGGGAGACAGTTCCTTTGTATTTTTGATCTCATCATGGTGTTAATGACTAAGCCAGACAAGCATCTTCAGGGGCAGACTCCCAGGTAATGCCTACTCAGAGCATCGTTTATTTCTGAGAATGCCCCCAATCCAAAGTCTAACAGAAAGACACCCCAACACTATGTATGAAAATATCCTTTTTGAGTTTTTGGACAAGGCTTTCTAAGAGACTCCCCAGATACTATAGGTTGTTGCTGTTGCCCCTTGTTTGTCCTCTAGAGGCAGAAGGTAAGTCCGTATTTCTGAAGACACTGTTAACTTCAGACACAGGACCCAGAAGACGTGGACTAGGAGATCTGACCTGAAAATACCAAGCATGCAGATTTCCCAACAAAGGGAAGCAGTCAGTGGTCCTACTTAGGTGTTATTCCCATAAACCATAACAATGACCAGTGTGGCATGCTAACCCTAAGGATGCACAGTGGCGTTCATACCGTGATAGTAACCATAAGTTCTCTACTTGATCTTAAGGTCTACTTGGTAAGATGGAAATCATGCCTGGTACAGGAAACCTAGATAACAACCTGGGGCTAGAAAAGTCAAGGATTTTGGAGGAGAACCCATAACCACCACTAAACCAGCATAATCCCTAGGTATCTTCTAAATATTTATTCTTATGCCCACTGATAAGTATAGTTCTTAGTCATTATCAAGGAACCTTCTCTTTGCAGTAGACCATTACAGAAAGTCATAACTGATCAAAATGCAAAGAAGAGATTGTGTGGTGGTGCCCAGCTCCAATGGATATATTTATACAACTTGGGGTCTTCATAGAATCAGAGATGGGAAGACTCTTAAGAGCTAGAGGACGAGGGTGTTAGTGATACTGTGTCTCCTAGAATTGTCAGAGAAGCTATACCCATGAAGTCTCATCAACATGGCTGCCTAAACAAGACCTGAACAAGGACAACACTCACAGACATGCTAACATGGAAGAGGTAAGTCTATGGGGCTCCAACCCTAGACAAAGAACTGCAGGTAACTTAGGGAATGCTGTGATTGGATGAGCTCTCTAAATTGTTTATTCAATATCAAGTGGTGGAGATCATTGACTCTGGATATGGTTGCTGGTTCAATCCTGTTCTGTCCATGTCCTAGGACTGGATTTGCTCCTTGCTTCTGCTCCTGGTGGAGCTTGTTCTCTCTCTGTCCTAGGTAGCTGGTTCAGTCCCACTCCAGTTCCGGTGGAGGTCACAGACTCTAAATCAGGTTGTTTGGCTCATTCCTGGTCTGCCAGTGTCCCAGGACTGGATTGGCTCCCGGGATTTGTTCCTGGCTTCTACTCCCAGTGGAACTTGTTTCCTCCTGCCCTTTCTGTCCTAGGAGTGTGTTCAGTTCCACTCTTGTGGAATTTGTTGCCCAAGTGGAGTTCCTCGCCTCAGGGAAACTTTGGCCTAGGTTACTGTCTTTGACCTGTATCTGTAAATCCTGGTCTGGATTCCAGGCAGAAGTCCCTGGATTTGAGTTGGACCTGGAAAGGTTTCTGGTTCTGGTCTACTGCCTCGGAGATCCCAGGCTCGGGTGCACCCTAACCCACAGAGGTCCTGGCTCAGGCCTACTCTCTCTGAGGTCCCAGGCTCACACCTGGCCCCTCCGAGTTCTCTGGTTCCTACCTATTCCCTCAGAGGACCCAGGTTCACTCATGCCCAGACTGGCAGAGGTCCTGGCTCCGTGATATAATTTCAAAAGATAAAATTAGTTGCACAGAGACTATTGTGGGATACCCACCAGAGAAGACTCCTTTGGACACAGATTTAAACCAATAGAAAGTCTATTTGATGGCCAGTGTGTTCAGATCCCAGTGTAGCCCTCAGCCTTTCTCGGAGTAAGTTTTAAAGCACAAAACCATGTCCTGGGTTGACATACTTCAGCTGATATAACAGTTAGCCAGAAGTGGAACTGAAGAAGGCAGAAGCAAGGTTAGTACATTCAGAGACTTCCCCAGCACTCTGGACCTCTTTGTTCTGGCAGGTCTTGCTGCCTGTGTGAAGGGTCCCATGGCCTAATGGTACTTCTATCATAACATCAGTTGTGTGAAGGTTTGGGGCCTACTATAAAACAACAGAACTTTACAGGGCAAGCTAGGCATGCCTGGAGACATCGCTATCATTTATCTTTTTTCTAAATTGATTTTTATTGAGCTCTACATTTTTCTCTGCTCCCCTCTGGTGTGGGAGAATTGTCTATATTCTGTCAATTATATATTAAATAAACACTGATTGGCCGGTAGCCAGACAGGAAGTAGAGGTGGGGCAATGAGAATAGGAGTATTCTGGGAAGAAGGAAGCTCTTCCCAGAGTCCTGCCCAGACCACTGAAGAAGCACGATGTGACCTGCCCTGCTGTAAAAGGTACTGAGCCATGTGGCTAACATAGATAAGAATAATGGGTTAATATAAGCTACAAGAGCTAATAAGAAGCCTGAGCTAATGGGCCAATCAGTTTATAATCTTATGGAGACCTCTGTGTGATCTCTTTGGGGCTAAACAGCTGCAGGAACTGGGCAGGACAGAAACCCCAAGGAGTAGGCTCTAATGTTACAGAAGGAAGTAGCCTGGACTACTACGCCCACATTCCCAAAAAATGGACTATGGATATTTTCCTTTGTTTAAAAAAAAGAGGGGGAAGTGGTGCGGGAGAATTGTTTGTATTCTGTCAATCATGTTTTAAATAAATGCTGATTGGCCAGGCAGGAAGTATAGACGGGTCAACCAGACAAAAAAATAGAGGTGGGGCAATGAGAACAGGAGTATTCTGGGAAAGAAGGAAGCTCCCTCCCCAGTCCTGTCCAGACACAGAAGAAGCAAGCTGTGACCTACCCTTCTGAAAAAGGTACAGAGCCATGTGGCTAACATAGATAAAAATAATGAGTTAATATAAGTTATAAGAGCTAATATGAAGCATGAGCTAATGGGCCAATCAGTTTATCATTAATATAGACTTTCTGTGTGATTGTTTCAGGGCTAAGCTAGCTGGGTGGCCAGGGTGACAAGCAGGCCCTTGTGTTACATCCCTCTCTGCCTCTCCCCTCCCCTTCAAACCTCTACCAAGGTCCCCATGCTCCCAATTTACTCAGGAGATCTTGTCTTTTTTTCTATTTCCCATGTAGATTAGTTCTATGTATGTCTTTCTTTTCTCATTCTGTAGGCTGTCATTTTGTCTTGTTGACCATGTCCTTTGCTTTACAGAAGCTTTTCAGTTTCAGGAGGTCCCATTTATTAATTGTTTCTTTCAGTGTCTGTGCTGCTAGGGTTACATTTAGGAAGTGGTTCCCTGTGCCAATGCATTCAAATGTATTTCCCACTTTCTCTTCTGCCTTTATTATGTTTAGGTATGTTCCTAGTATGTCTGTTCTCTCCAGGACCTTTATCATGAAGGGATGTTGTATTTTGTCCAAAACTTTTTTGGTATCTATTGAGATGATCATGTGGTTTTTATTTTTGTGTTTG